CCTCCCCCCCTTACCACTAAGCACCCCCATCAGTTAGTATTCCATTCAATGCAAATAAAATCAACAAATAAGACAGAAACAAAAAGAAAACAAGCACCAAGCTCTCCAAGCCATAAATAAATTAAAAGAAAAAAATGCAAGAAATGAAATTGAAAATGAGAACAACAATTAAAGATATAAAATCACACACTGAAAAAAAAAAATGGGCACGCAACGTCGTGCACGCGGCGTGCATCACTCGTAATAGAAAATGTAATGTACACGAAAAGTCGTTAACGATTCGAAGTACCTGACAGACTGACACTAAAATCACACATGAAAAACGTAACATGACACAATGTATCCTACTGCTAAGGCACTGGCACCACATGTCGAAAAAAATACAAGAAACAGTAGTCTACAAGTCGTGTCGTAGCTGCCGAGATACTGTACTCAGTCTGCTGCAACCGACGACACTCTATGAACACCCTACTGGCACCAAAATCATACTCTACGAACACCCTACTGCTACCAAAATCATACACACCAACAAGTAAAGCACGCACACTACCGCTGAGTGGCTGACAATACTGAGACAAGACGAGACGACTCAGACGACCAAAAAAACTAGGACCGCACAACATGACGACGTACAGTGCGAGTAGGGGAGAAGCGGAGTGTTGGCCTCATCTGTCAACAACCCTTCTTCCCCTTCCCGCTTTGTCTCCTCGTACCCCCTCGAGTGCCGGATGTCGACCTCTTCCTCCCTCGTGAGGATGAAGAAGTCCAGCGGAGCGTGTAGATACACGCGTCGGTGGGGGTCCTGGGGGAGGTGGGGGCTCATCGTAATCGTCGTAGTCGTCACCATCGAAACCGCTCTTGCTCTCCTCCTCTCCCTCCTCGCCCTCATAGTCCTCGTCCGCCTCCCGCACAGCCGCATCTGTATCAGGATCATCCTCCTCGATGGTGACTGGGCCTCCTCCCTTCCTCAACACAACAACCCTCGCACTAGCCTCTGCAACGGTCTGCTCATGGCGGGATCCAAGAGGCATCCCCAACCCCTCCGCCCCCAAACTCTCTCCAAGTGTAGTGCGTCCCTCTGCAGGCAAGGGGCGTGGACGAGGAGTCACTCCACGCTTGCGTGGAGTCTGCTCCTGCACGGCACGCATCGTTGCTCTCAGAGCGTACTCCAAGCTCTCGGTGGACACTCCTCTGCCGCGACCTCGCTGAGGCTCACAACCTGATGCCGGTACCTCCCTCGCCGCGGTCGTCCTGGCGCCGCGGGGTCCCAAGCCCGACTGAAGGCGTGCAGTGTGCTCCGTGACACGACTCCAAATCTATGTCTGTCCTCCCGAATACCATTGTGTCACACACATCCTGCTGAACTGCTGTCGTGTCACGAATCCTACATCTCCCAGGCGTGTGTGGGGATCGAGAGCCTCTACCTGTGGGCAACGATGATGGATCACCTACAGGTGCTCTAGGAGGAGGGGGTGGCATGTCTCCTGTACGTGGCGCTGTCTCCTTCACGCCACCCGAAACCCCTGGAACATGTCCCACGGTATGTCCACCGGTGGAGGTAGACCCAAACCACACGGGCGACGCAGGACCCCATGAAACCGAAGAGATCGTCTGCCATGCTGGATGCTCGAGCCTCATGTCGAAGATCCGCCGGTCCAATCATGTAACATCGCGCACAGCCTCTCCCGCCAACTCCTCTGCATCCAAAGGACAACGAACCTCTTGCGGAGCAAAGTGGCTAGGAAGACGTAGGGGCACAACCACCGGCTCAGATCCCAAATCCGTGATAACGGGCGGTGGCACACCATGCACTGCCAGCTGAAACGCCTACGACTGCCGTCCCTGAGCCAAGTGCAGGCCCGAGAACGGAACGACTGGACCCGTCGCTGTCTCCTGGACCACGCGCCGTGCGTCTATAGCCCCCTCGACTCGCCGCTGTCCTGCCTGCACAACCTCATCCACCGCCTGTGGTCGTCCCTCCACTGCAACGTCCGCTGCCTCTGCTCCACCCAGCATAGCCTCATCGACCGCCTCTATTGCCACTCCCTCCGCAACGCCTACCCCCGCCACCACCCCGCCCTGCACACAATCCCCCCCTGTCTCTCGAAGCCTGGCCTCCTCTAAGGCCCGTGCGAACGCCTGAGCACGCGGGTTACTCGATGCCAAAAGTCGAGGCCTCTCTCGCTCCATGATGTCGCGTGCTGCATCTGGAGACTCAGTCATCGTCCTCTCTCTCACGGTCTGTGTCAAAGTCTGTCCTGCCGCCTCGTCCCTCGATGGGGCGCGGTCCGTCGATGTCGCCCTGCCACAACTAGGTGGAAGGCCCATCGATGAATCAAAGTCTAAGTGGATCCCCATCTCCGAATTCGAAATCCCAAACCCCCTCGCCACACCCGGGGTCATACCCGCTATGAACGGATCGAGCTCCTCCGTAAGGAACTGCTGCATGAGGCGCTCGTCATCTCCCCCACGCTGCACCTCGGCCTGTGCGGCTATGTCCTCCTCCACTGGTCCTGGCACCCCCCCTCCACTGCAACTGCCGACGGTGCCTCCTCCTCCTCCACTGCTGCTGCCCCCTCCACCTCCAGTGTTGCTGCTTCTCCACCTGCTCCTCCTGCTGCTGGCACCTTCCCCTCCACTGCTGCAGCTCCTCCTCCCGCTGGTGCCTCCTCCTGCAGCACTGCTGCTGCCATCTCCTCCACCACTGCTGCTGCTGCTATCTCATGCACCGCAGTTGCGATTGTCGCGTCCGGCACTGCCGTTGATGCCACCTACCCCTCCACTGCTGCTGCCGACGGTGCCCCCTCCTCCTGCAATATCCCAAGGGAAGGTGATCGTAACCTCAACTGGCGGACTGCCCCTCCTCTGTGGAGAAGTCCGCGCTGAGGCAAAGAGGACCCCAACTCCTCCCTGTCCGCCGTTGTCGTGGCCGGGGGCCGCCCGTGGAAGCGACCTCCCCGAATGGACCCCAAAACTCCTCATCTCCCCCCAGTATCTCCCTCTCCGCCTGGTCCACCGCCCGTCGTGCAGTGTGTGCCCTCGTCTCCTCGGAGTTAGGATCCTCGTGCGTCTCGCCGATCTCGCAGGGAATGCGGAGCGCAGGGTTATCTGCCGCCTCGGTTACTGGCTCCTTGTCCGAGTCGTCCTCCCTGGGGTAGAGACGAAAAATGTAAGCACGTTTACCGAAAACGACATCAGCAGAGGGTGGTGCGGAGACCCTGATGGGATCCCAGGTAATAAGTGCAACCTTACGGGCAATCTCCTCCTCCGCCATCCCCCTGCGAGTCCCCGAGCGCACATGCTCCACCTCAAGTCCTGCCTGGCAATCCAGCATGCCCTCGTCCCGCTGCCATGGCAGCACATAACCACATCCAGCTCGCCGATACTCCGTCAACCGCACATTTGCTGGGATCTCAACGAGTTGAACCACCTTCTCGAAGGCCAACTGGTTGCGCTTCTTCGTGTGAATGCCCTCGTGGACTGCCTAGTTCCTCTCCGCTGGAGAGGCGCAAGACCACATGTGCATCACCCGAAGAGCGCACTGCTGCAACTCTGGGGCGGCCGACCCGAACTGAGACCACCAAGACGCGCATTCAATCGTCTCGTCGTCACCGCTGCATGCGCGCCCACGAGCACGCCCCTCCGTCCCGCCCCAATCCCCGAACCTGCCCTGCTGAATGTGGAAGTCCTCAACCTGCCGACATGCAAGGATGTAGTCCGCACCCTCCAACTCGAAACCCATCTGCGTCAGAATGTACCTCTTGGCTTGCCTCACAAGCCAAGCATGGTACCGATCAACCTAGCCCGAAAATAGCGAACGTGTCGCCTGCGGGGGTTCAGTAAGAACCCTGCGCAGTGAGCCGGTTCAAGCATGTGCTGTGTGCGAGCCTGCACACGCCTGATGATCCGGTCGGCGAACAACTTCCCAAAGGGGCGCATGCATCCGTGACACGATGGACAAGATCCTGCATCCACTCGATCATGAGGGACATGCACTGTCCTCCATGATCCATCCGCCTAAGCAACTCCATGACGGGCTGCATGATATGGACGATGGTGGCCACCGTCTGCCACCATGGATCCCATCTGATCTGTCGGCGCACCCAACGCGCCATGACGCACACATCGGCGGACAACGGGATGGAAGCAAAAGCCCGCGCGTCATCTCCTCGCATCATGTTCTGCAGAGTGTCCTGCAGGGCCAACAACCTCTCTAGCATGGAGTAAACAGACGCGAACCGCGTCTTGCAAGAAAGAATAAGCCCCTTGTCGAGGCTGCACGCCCTAAAAAAATGAAGGGCGGCCTGGTGGGTTTTGAAAAACACCACCAGCATACGAGCACGTGTGATCGCATCCACAAACGCGTCGCAACTCGTCCCCATGTCTGACAACAATTTGTTGCAGACATGGACGGAGCACGGGAGCCAAGTGATCCTCCTCAGTGCAAGAGGCGTGGATGGCGAGGCCAATGCCCTTGCAGCCCCCACGTAAGCAGAAGCGGAGTCAGTGCATATCGCATTGACCCGCTGCAGTCCGCCGAAGCTGAACTCGTAGAAGATGGTAACCCATCTTTGAAGGACGTGCACTGCATTGTCCGCCTTGCCCTCTCGATTGATCGTCGTGTACACGACGACCCCTCGCGAGTCAGCGGCCAGGAAATTCACGATCGGTCTCCCGTCTCGTGATTTCCTCCCATCGGAGAGAAGGCTGGCACCAGTCACCCAGAATGGCTGCCTCACCTCCTCCAAGTCCTCCGCCAGCTCCGCACGGTGGGTCTCCACCGCCCGCATACTCGCAATCTCGGAGTGGTTGGGGAGCACAGCGTGCGGGGAACTGCCACGCTGCTCAAGAAGCACATGTTGATATGCCTTCCAAGCCTGGTTGCGGAAGGCATTGAAGGAGACCGCGCTGGAATAGAGCCAGCGAAGGAATGCCTTCTTGTGGCAAGCAACTCACTCGCCACCGTAGACATCAGTCACCTTCTGCTGGCGAAGCCTCTTTCCTACTGGGGGGGCAGCCGGATCACTTCCTCCTTCCTTCCTCTTGGAAGATCCCTCCGTTGCAGCTCCCTTGCCTGCTCGCCTCCGCTTGTCCTCCAACCTCTCCCAGTGCCTGGATAAAACTCTGGCACGTCCTCGTGTTTCGGGACTCCCTCCTCGCCCGGGCCACGTGCCTCGCGATCGACGTGGATCACGCCCTCCTCCGTCTCACAGCCTCCACCCCCCAAAGGGGGGTCTGGCGCACCATGCCCACCATTTCCCCCGACCCCTCCCTCCACCGGACGCCGCCCCGCCTCTCCTCCCCTTGCACCACCCGTGCCGGGCACATCGAGTCCGCGCTCCGCTGCATACCTGACAACCCTCTCCATTTGATCGGCCTCGAACTTTTGTTGAGTCCGTCGCGCGATCTCGTACAACGCCTCGTCGCTGACGTCCTTGCAGGAGTTTGTCTGCGTGAAGTGCCTCGTGGCCTGAAATTGGGTCCCTTGGAAAACTTTGTTGCAAAACGTGCAACGGAGCATCATGACTCCCTTGTTGTTGACCTTCTGGCCGACAACCAAGTACCGATAGACAGGGGAGCGGACCCTGAATGTGTGTTGCACATGGTTCGCGGCAGGCTCATGCTGGCGGCGGTGTGCCCTCCCCATGTCGACCACCCTGGCAAGACAACCCTCGCTGATTCCTCCCGACCGCACCGCTGCAACCCAACCCCCGTTAACCGCTGCCCGCCGCAGGGTCCCCCTTCCCCCAACTCCCTCGCAACCCCCTCAGTATGCCCTCCCCCCCCTCCTCGCGAGACTTTCCACGCACAGTCGCCCCAACCCCCCCTGCAATCCAACCCTCCTTGACCGCCACCCGCCACAGGGTCCCCTGTCTAGTATCCCCCACCGTCTCCCCGGAACGCGAGAACCCGCTCGCACTCGGCCCAACCACCACAAACGCACCGCGGGCCCGCGCGTTGAATCGCGTTGAACGCCTTCAATCGCATTTAACGTCGTTGAATTAAACGACGCCGTCACTCGGGACCGCGCGTGCCAGTTTGCAGCCATCGCCGTCCAAGCTCCTCCGCTGCTCCGCCTTCGTCGAGTCGACGCCGCCTCTCCGCTGCGCTCCACGCTCCCTGCAACGCTCCTCGCTCCCTCTCTCTCTCGCAGCAGCTGTCTCCCTCTCTGTCTCTCTGTTTCTCTCTCTCTCTCTCTCTCTCTCTCTCTCTCTCTCTCTCT